AAAAAAAGGAAAGGTAAGAAATATGAACTCACCAGAATGAGGAGGCCAGTGAAAACAGTATGGCCTGCATCCCAAAAGTGAAAAAATATTCACAACAATCATATTTAACCTCTAGATCAAAATACATATTCACAGCTAGGAGCAGTGGCTCACGCCTGTAACCCCAGCATTCTGGGAGGCCGAGGCAGGCAGATCACTTGAGGCCGGGAGTTCAAGACCACCCTGGCCAACGTGGCAAACCCTCACCTCTACTAAAAATACACAAATTAGCCAGGCGTGGTGGTGCATGTCTGTAGTCCCCGCTACTCAGGAGGCCGAGGCACGAGAGTAGCTTGAACCCTGGAGGTGGAAGTTGCATCGATTTGAGATGGTGCCACTGCACTCCAGCATGTGCAACAGAGTGAGACTCTGTCTCAAAAAATACCCAATATATTTAGTAATGCTCCCCAAACTCATCCTTAAGAGCTGCAAAAGCTAAAACAGAGCAGCTTTCCAGGACATATTCAAATTCTTCCTTCACACTAAGCCTGGAGCCTCCCAAAGTGCTTCAGAAATAAACCTTTCCATTGTTTTTAAGATAAAGGACATTCTTTTCTTCCCAGGAATTTTTGAAGTAACTGTGGCAGATCTTACCATATAGTATTTGTCCAGGCGTAGCCTGTCTATTCCTTTCCATTCTCGATTCATGGTTTGCCAAAAGGTCTGAATGAACAGGTTCTCTGCAGTGAACAAAAGGCTATAAATACTTGGCTTCCACGTTAACATATTACCATACAGCAAGAAAATAATGAAGAGAAACAAACTCGCAAGACTTATTACTCACTTTTCTCAGTTATTCTTGGGCAGCTAGAAAATCTGTGCCATAATTATATTCACTCATTTCTTTTACATTTATTTATTTTTAAACATCACCTGGACTGTGCAGATCTTTTACTTTTTATTTTTGAGACGGGGTCCCACTCGGTGGCCAAGCTGGAAAGCAATGGTATGATCTCAGCTCACTGCAACCTCTGCCTCCCAGGTTCAAATTTCTCCTGTCACAGCCTCCTGAGTAGCTGGGATTACAGGTGTACACTACCACACCTGGCTAATTTTTGTATTTTTAGTAGAGACGGGTTTTGACATGTTGGCCAGGCTGGTCTTAAACTCTGAAAGTGAAGTGATCCACCTGCCCCCGCCTCTCGAAGTGCTGGGATTACAGGCTTGAGCCACCCTGCTCGCCATGATATTTTATATTTAAATAAAAACGTAATAACAGGAAGGCTGGCAACATTGTAACATCAGATTAGAATGCTCTCTGGAGCATTGTCCCTTTATCCACTGCAAAAGCCACGTTTCTCTTAAAATCAAGATTCCTCATTCCACTGCTAGTGACCCTTCCTACTGCATCGGTACCTAACAATGAATCCCAAACCATTAATTCTCACTCTTATATAACCCATGTAGAAACTCAGATTTTTGCCTGATGATAGGTGTCATCTGAATGGGCTACAGCACAAAGCATTCAATTTTTCTCTTCTGACCCGCAAAGCAAGCACTTTTTTATTCAAAAACAATTTTTGTTAATTTATTTTTTTGGGGCTTTATTTCTTTTTGCACAATTCTTTTCCCCCTGCAAATCTATACCATGCATTGCATGTAGAATTTTCTTCCCTGTGAGTCGGCTAGTATTCAGACAACCACCGGGGGTTGCCGAAGTCATTAGGATGGTTTTCTGGAGTGTTGAGCAGAACAAACTAAGCCTGCTGCCTTTTTCTTCCTTTGTAAGTAATCATTGCCCGACACAGAAGTGCCTTAACAAATGCTCCCTTTGCCTCTTCTCTGGTAGAGAGGGGTTACTTCACAGTCTGTGGCCAGCGGTGTCTTCTCTTTACTTATTTCTTACCAGTGGCGGCTCTGCTTTTAGGGAAGATGAACCTGACATCCAGAGGTCACCGGGGACCCTGCATCTGGATCTCCAGGCTCCAAGTGTTAGCTCAGAATTTGGAGATTTGGAGGACTGTTATTTCTAAAAGCATTTTCTGAAATTTCTGAGATGTCAAATTGATTCTCCTCAAGACACCTCACCCTCTCAGCAGCCAACGACTAAGCTGATCACAGCTTTTACAAACAGGAACGGCAGTCCTCTGACAGCTGCACAATGCCGGCACAAGGTTCCCATGAAACTAGCACACTGGAAAGCTCAGGAGGCAGGAGAGACAACAAGACTTACGAGCCACTGAGTTGTTAACGGCATGGACCAGCTGCGAGATGGTGTTGGCGAGCTCCTCCTGCAGGGCGGGGGGAGAAACGCGGGGGTTACCGTGGGGCAATAGGAGACGCCCCACCTCGGCCCGCTTCTTCCTTCCTCCTCCACCTCTGCTGGCGGCGAAGTCTGCGCCTCTTGTTCTGTGTCGCTTCCAGTAGGAAGTATGTATCCAAATATCTGAATTTTATCAAATGCGTGATTTCCAATATTGGTGGACTATTATGCTAACTTGGTATGTCTGCAAGAACTGTTTAAGCTACATGTTTAAAAAAGCATCTCTAGTTATCGGTTCAAATGAACTAGAGACAAAACAAATTAGTTATCAGTTCCTGGCTTTACAACTGTACCTGGCCGTGTGTGGTCACCCATGCCTGTAATCCTAGCACTTTGGGAGGCCGAGGTGGGTGGATCACCTGAGGTCAGGAGTTCAAGACCAGCCTGATCAACATGGCAACCTCCTGTCTCTACTAAAAATACAAAAACTAGCTGGGCACGGTAGGCGTGTGCCTGTAGTTCCAGCTACTCGGGAAGCTGAGAAACAACTACTTAAACCCGGAGGTGGAGGTTGCAGTGAGCCAAGATCACACCACTGTACAGCCTGGGTGACAGAGACTCCATCTCAAAACAAAAAACAAAAACTCACATCTAAGCTAGGCAGGGCAGCTCATGCCTGGAATGGGAGGACGAGGCAGGCTGATTGCTCGAGTCCAAGAGTTCAAACCAGCCTCAGCAACACAGTGAGACCCAGTCTCTACAAAAAGTACAAAAATTAGCCAGGCATGGAGGCATGCACCTGTAATCTCAGCTACTCAGGTGGCTGACTCAGGAAGATCACTTGAGCAATAGGGAAGTTGAGGCTATGGTGAGCCATGATTGCACCACTGCACTTCAGCCTGGGCAACATAGTAAGATTGTCAAAAAACAAACAAAACTTCATCATCACCCCACAAATCACGTGAAATGCAAAGACAGCATGGTAGACAGACTCCACAGAGGGTAGACGCTGGGGATGCTGACTGCACGGTGTGGGCAAGTCCTCCACCTGGGTTGGTCAGAGACAAGGTGGAGTATGAAGGTAGAGCCAGCTTTCTGGGCTCTGTCCTGGGTGAAGGTGTCCCTGGGAGAGCATGCCCCGCTGGGGAGCAGCCTGTGTGGGAGGGCGCCAACAGAAGCCCTGTGTGGCTAGGGTTCCGTGAGAAAAGCACACTCTCCTCGCTAGTCTCACTCACACGTCAGTCTCGTTCACACCTGAGTCTCACTCATCAGTCTCACTCACACCTGAGTCACTCATCATCAGTCTCACTCACACCTGAGTCTTACTCATCAGTCTCACACCT